GTGACCGTAAGTCTACTCAATTTCCTGACTTTGTCTATTCCACTTAATCTACTTCTTTTGCTTCTTTTCTGACCTCTATTCACATTTTATTTGAACCTTCTACCTATAAAGAGGTTGTTCTTGACCCTCTTTGGAAGCAGGCTATGACAGAAGAACTTTCTGCTTTGCACAAAATAGACACTTAGGAATCAATACCTCCTTCTCCTGGAAAACGTGCTATTGGGTCTCGTTGGATATAAAAAATCAAAACTAAATCTGATGGGTTAGTTGAACACTACAAAGCACCTCTTGCTGCTAAGGGATTCTCTCAACAATATGGTATGGATTATGAAGAAACTAATTTTGTTGTTGTTGCAAATATGACTACTATTCACACACTTTTTGCAATTGCATTTGTTCTTCAGTGGCATATATCTCAAATGGATGTTAAAAATGCATTTCTAAATTGTGATCTTCAAAAGTAAGTTTATATGGAACTCCTACAAAGTGTTTCTCATAATCAAGGGGAATACTGTAAGTTGAAGAATACATTATATGGTCTGAAACAAGCTCCACGAGCTTGGTTTGAGATGTTTAGCACATTGATTACATATATTGGCTTTTGCTGTAGTGATTATGATTCTTCTTTTTTTGTCAAGACTACTTATCATGGTCATATTTTACTCTCACTATATGTTGATGATATAATTATTACATGTGATGATATGAATGGAATTAATGATTTAAAATTGCAGTTAGCCAAACAATTTGAGATGAAAGACTTAGGAACTCTTCGCTACTTCTTGGGCATTGAAGTTTCCTACTCTCTTAGAGGCTATCTTCTCTCTCAATCTAAGTACATTGTCAACATTCTTGAATAGACTCACATTTTTGATACTAGACTCACATTTCTGATACTAGTCTAGTGTTTCTCATGAATATTATAAGCAGTATTTAGTCTAGTAACAACATGAATATTATAAGCAGTTTCTTGTCTCTTCCACTACTGTGCATTGGGCAGTTGTTCTTCGCATATGTTGTTATCTTCAGGGAATCCAGTTTTGAAGCCTTATCTTTCCCCATCGTCCTCATTGAAATTACATTCTTATTCTGATGTTGATTGGGTAGGAAACCACACAGATCGTAAGTCTACCACGAGATTTTGTGTCTTTCTTGGAGACCTTATTATTTCTTGGAAGAGTAAGAAACAAGATATTATCTCTAGTTCTTCTATAGAAGCTGAGTATCGTTCTATGGCATCCACCACTACTGAAATAGTTTGGTTACGTTGGTTACTTTCTGATATATGTGTCATTCTTTCTAAACCAGCTCCTATGTATTGTGATAACAAATGTGTCACTTAAATTACCCATAACTCGGTATTTCATGAACGTACTAAATACATAGAGATTGATTGTTACTTCACTCGTCATCATCTTCAGCATGGGATAATTACTCTATCGTTTGTCTCCTCTGCTTTACAAATTATTGATTTGTTTATGAAGACATATTCCATTAAACTTTTTTGTTTTTTTTATTAACAAACTCTCGATACTCTTTACTAATGCATCTTGAGTTTGAGGGGAGATGTTAGTTATTATTATTATATTATTATTATTTTATTGTATCTTTATAAAGTAGTTCGGTCTTTTCTAACTTTTAGTATTTATACTCTGGTGTAACCCTTACTCTTCAAATTTTGTTCATTCTATTAAAACCCTAATTCAAATGTCTTTCTTCTTCTCTATGTCTCTATATGTTCACTATTGTTAACACTATATAAGAAATTACATGGAGATATAATGACTCTCAATGCCACCCTAGCATATAAGTTCTTCCATAAACAAAGGTTTTAGAAGCACCTACAGGCCTCCATTGTTTTGTGCATCATAAACCATATTTAAATAAGATAAGTGACATTGCCTATTTTGATATTTAGTTATGTTGACACATCAAACATATTCTTATATGATCCATGTAATAAACTTAATAACAATAACAACTAATTAGAGCGTATACAATTTCAATCACTAAACAAATGAGGAGTTTATCTTCCAAGTATGATCACTCAATAATTCATTAATTCATTCAATATTTATTCACGCTAACCCAACTTTGATATTGAAGTGTCTTTGCAAGTACACCCTCTTATTTGAAGAAGTAATATACGAGAAACAACTCGAATATCACATTACCAATCAAAGAAGCAAGTTTAATTTATTTATTTTTAATTTAAAATGTCAAGCTTTTTTTTTATATTGTCGTTGATGTGAACAAAAATTCAATTAGTAATATGTAAATGAAATATATTTATTCTAAAAGCTCTTTAAACTTTAAGATTTTTATAATTTAGTTATCTTCTAAAATCAAAATTATATAATATTTTTTATGTATAAGTTAAGAGTCTAACATTGATCAAATATGACTTAAAACATACTTACTATCGTACTATCGAATATGCTAAGAAGAATTGGAGAAATTTTTGTTTTGAAACTGAATCATATTTTTTAATTTGAATATTATTTTTTTGCCATTTTTTAATCAAATGGAAGAATGCTTTGTATACTATATATATCCTTTAGATCAAGATATTACACATTTTTAGAAAGAAAAATGAATTTGCAAATAGATTAAACAATACATGTTATTTTTGTTGATTATGATACTTATGAGATTCACTTCGTATTTATGGGGTAAAACACAAGAGAGCATTTTTTACTTTTAGTTTTGTTTTTCTTTAAGAGAAAGACATATTTGTGAGAGACACACCACATATTCACTCAAAATCTTAAGGTGATAGGTGGGCGAGCTCTCTCACTTATAAATGTTCAAGTCTACACATTTTCAACCAATGTGAGACTATTATCCATACTAATCATACTTGTTACATTCTCAACACCCCTCTCAAGTGTGAGTCCACAATACTCCCCCTCAAGTGAAAACTCTTTTTACTTCCACAAATTCTTGTACCGCATGGAACGTTTCTTCTTATTCACCATCTTTGTGGCATCATTGACTCTTCAACGGAACGCTCCTTACTCACCACCCTTGTGACGACGTTTGACTTTTGATACAAGTTAGTTGTTCCCTTCCTCGAACCAAAGACTTGTGATACCCTTTGTCTCATCTTATCTCTAGTTGCCACTCATAATTGGTTCCCTCACCAATTAGACATCAACACGGCTTTCTTACACGATGATTTGGATGAAACTGTTTATATGAAATTGCCATCAGGATTACATGTTTCTAACAATGACCTTGTTTGTAAGTTAAATCGTTCTATTTATGGATTAAAACATACCAGTAGTTAATGCAACCATAATTTGATTTCTACCCTAACTGATTTGGGTTATATTCATTATAAATCTGATTATTCTCATTTTACTCTTTCTGCTTCTTCCTCCTTCATTGCCATTTTGGTTTATGTTGATGACATTTTGATACCTGGCAATGATATGTCTAACATTTACTTTCTCAAGCAGGTTTTGGACTCCAAATTCAGCATTAAGGACCTTGGCAATTTGAAGTACTTTCTTGGATTAGAGATTGCCCTCTCCTCCTCTAGCATTGCAGTCTGTCAGCATATATACATGGACCTCCTGCAAGAAACAGGCTTGCTTGGGGCCAAACATGTTTCTACTTTATCATCCAACCCCACTTCTTTTTTTATTCTGGTTGGTAAATTATTGTATTTGACTCACGCTCGTCCTGGTATTAGCTATGCCGTTTGCAGGTTGAGCCAATTTCTCTCCCAACCTACTGCAGAACCCTTTACTGCATTTGTTCGGATCCTTCGATACATCTAATTTGCACCGACCAAAGGTCTTCTTTTCCAAGCATCTTTTTCAATAATTCTGACTGGATTTACGGATTCCGATTGAGGTGTTTGTGCTACGACACGGCGCTCTACCACCAGTTTTTGCTTCTATCTTGGAACATCTTTAATCTGTTAGATAATTAAGAAACAATATATTGTCTCCAGATCCTCGTCTGAAGTCGAATATCGCGCTCTGACCAATTCTACATGTGAAGCTCAATGGTTGCTCTACCTGCTCCAAGATCTCCGAATTCCACACACACAACCTATCAATATCTTTTGTGACAATTCTTCCACTATTCATATCGGTAACAATCCGGTCTTCCGCGAACGAACTAAGCACATTGAAATGAACTGCCATATTATTTGTGACAAAGTGCAACAACAAGTAATCCACTTAATGCCCATTCCTTCTTCACCTTACCTTTACACCATGCCCCGTTCAGCTCTCTTGTTTCCAAACTCGGCATAAATTTACCTTTATTTATTTATTTATTAGTTCTCCATGCTGTATCTATTCTGCAGCCTAGTTTATAGATGTATTTTTTTCTCTTTCTACAATAATGAAAAATAATGTTCAATTTCTTTGCTTATGAGTTTCTCTCTCTCATGCAATGCAATGTGGCATGACTTTACAGTCTTTATTTAAAAAATTGACTTAAACATACATTTATAAGTAACCTGAGTCATATAACTAAGATTTACTTCTTACTTAGAGTTATCAATAGAAGAGTCGTTATTTTATATTTGCTTAATCTAGAGTAGAATTAAAATAAACTAAAACACAAAAATGTAGAGATAACAAACATACCATACTCATTTTAAATCTTTAACTAGTTTCACCATGAACAAACCATATTATATATTTCACAATTCCAATTCAGTTCAATGTGAATTGACTTTTACAAGTTCTAAATTGTTCAATCAAATCTTAACAACTTCGTAACTAACTAACTAACTGCTCCATGTGCTTTTTTCACAGTGAATTCAAGTTCCTAACTAACTGCTGTATATGCTATTTTCAATGCAGCTGATTCAAATTCATAACCAACTAACTGTAACAAGATATTGATTGCAAATTTATATATAATTTAGCATAATCAGTTGCTAATTAATATCCAAATTACATTTCAATTCTAAACAAGCACATACAGAATCAGCAAAAAAATAATAAGCCACCCGCATAACAACTAATATACTAACATTAACGATATAAATCGCACCTAACATCTTGACAAACATGTGAAAGTCGTCGAGGTTCTTCGTCGAGGCGAATCCCTTCATCGAAGTTCTGCGAGTAGCTAACAGGATCATACTGAAAAGAAATGTGTTTGTGTCTACACAAGATCTTAGACCTGTTTCTCAAGAACTTTGTAAGTAGGTTCCTCCATCTCCACTTTCTCTTAATGGGAGTGTAATGGATTTTAGAGTATTGGAACTCATTTGGGACTGGGAAACAAGGTGGAGACATTATGCAGTTGGAAACGGAACAAGGGTTTTGAACATTTTTTATTGTGTGATCTTGTTCCATTTGAATAATTGAGATGTTGAAGACTATGTTGTTTTTTTTTTGAGGTGGATATGTGTTTGTTGTTTATCTTGTCAATTATTTGGTTTGGGAATGAGGTGGTTGAGGATCTAAGTGTTTGTTACCATTTGTACATACTACCATGGTGTAAAAGGGTAACTCATTTCAAAAGGTGGATTCAAATGCGTGTGCTTGAATCAGATGAGATGTCTCTACACAACTATTAACTGAACAAATTTAATGGAATTCGACGAGACTCTTTTATTTCACTTTAATTAATTGTATTTTGTTTCTTTAGTTATTTTACATGTTTGTCCTATTACCAACAAAAATAATAATAATATCCTGACAGAAGCTACATAGAAAGGGTAATATTCCATAACTAATTGATACCTAAATGTCTCATAATTTTTAACAAAAAGACATTAATTTTTTCACTTATGGTTTTAGGAAGTACAAGAAAGGGCTATACATTCAAATTTACAACAAAAAGGACAAAAACCTTGAAGCAGAGTGGCCGCTAAAATTGAGGGGCTCCCATGTTCCCACCATTATATATTTCCTTACATGTACTTTTTATAATCAAAATCTACCACGGTTAAATGTTTGATAATTATTATTTTTTTTTGTCAATAAATATGTGGACATACAATACAAGATGAATCCTCTTTTTAGTAAAAATAAATAGAATTTTGTCACCTCAACTAAATTTTCCTTTGGATATTCATGAAAGATGTCAAACATTTTACAATTTATGTATTGTACTTGCATAAATACTATAAAAATAGGGAACTCTATTATATGAGAGAATGCAAGACAGTAGGTATGTTGAATCTCTGAACTTAGTGAATGATTTTCTCATGTTGAGATATTTATAGACCTAGTTCATGCCAAAATTTTGATGAGAACCCGATTTCTTTACAATTGCTTGACTAGAGTGTAAAAATAGGAAGGTCGGTTCTCCCCATTAGTAAGAATAGGAAGATTAATTTTCTATGTTAGTAGGAGGAGGCGGCTTCTTTTTTGGGATAGTGGCAAGAACTAACCCTTCTTCTTTCTTGGGAGAGTGGCAAAAACTAACCCTTTTAGAGATATGTGGTCAGCCACGTAAGAACTTGGTTTTTTCTTAATGGATATGAAAATGAGTTGAATGACTTGCCTCATGTGCACAATGGGTTGGATAGGAAGGCTCGTGACTCGCTAGATCATGTCCGCCCGATTGTCTAGTGTCCTTTTATAATGTTTCTTGGGCCAACTGAACTATTGGGTGTCCTCTTCTAGGCTCGATCAAAGTTATCCCAAGCCTGAGGAGGTTAGAGGGGCTTCATCCCCAATTCAAAGTCAGAAAGGAATGTGTGTCCAATCTTTAGTGACTGTCAATTTGGACAACGATAGTGGTGTGGACCCCGATGAATCACCCATAAGGATAAACACCTATGGGGCTCCTTCAAATAGAACAATGGTGCCCTCCATTTGGAACACGAACTTTGACTCCAAAAGTAATATGGGTAATCACTTTAACTACTCTGCTAACTCCTCCAATGATCATAAGATGGCAAGTCAGTTGGAGGTCAGGAAGATATCTAACTAGGTGGAGACCCATCTTGTAAGAGGTTATATGATGGAATGCCTGATGTTCGACGCCCATAGTCGGGCAAATAGGTCTATTGAGGATTTGAAAACCAAGTTGAACACAATAAGAGATGCGCTCTCTTAGACCTAAGAATCAATGAAGTCCACGACTGAGGAGTGCAATGAGGCACAAGGTTATTTAAATTAATTGAAAAAATGAGCTTTCCCGAGTGAAAAATGAGCTCAAAGCCTTGTAGGATTCTTTTAGGGTGGAGACCTTTATCAAGAAGAAACTGGACAACGATCTATTGGATTCCAAGGACAATGTGGTTGATGGTGCCGATAATTTCTTTGAGAGAGATAAGGAATAAGTAGTCTTCCTCTATCCTGACCTATATTTGAGTGAGCTTGATTTGTTTAGAGTAATAAAATATGAAAAGCTTATGGATAAGAAGGATGAGCTCGATCAAGAAACGACCCTCTTACTAAGAAGGAGAATGTCCCTTATCCGAAGAATCTCCTATCAACGAGGAGGGGCGAGTTCAAAAAGAGGGAGAACCACTTGTGTCCACCCCGCCCAACCCCTTGGAGTTTCCCTGCTATAATCTTGTCTTTTGTATTCTATCTTTTACTTGTTCTTTTTCTCTTTGTAGGCTCACTTGTAACAATGCCCTTGAGGTTTTTTTTAAATGTCCATGCCTTTTGGAGGTTTGTTTATAAAATTCTTTGTGTTATGGTTCTTATATTATTCGTTGTACTAGGGCACAAATCTAAGGCGTGTTCCTCATCAGGACTTAGGTCAAGTTGTTTGTTAAGATGGAAATGATTCCTTGTTTGGAGTTAAGTGAGTAGCCTATTGAGGTGGCAATGACTCTTTATCAAGTTAAAGTACAATAGCCTAATAAGGCAAAAAGGTCTCCTTCTCAGAATCCAACAATATTCTTGATTAGACAATAAAGATTCCTTATTAGGGTCCAACAAGATAGATTGATAAGGCGTCAAAGATCTTTTGTAATGGTCTAGTAAAATAGCTTGATAAGGCAACAATGATCCTTGTAAGGACCCAATAAGATAGCCTGTTAGGGAGGTAAGGATCCTTTGTAATGTTCCAACAAGATAATCTGATAAGACGACAAAGATTCCTTTTTACTTACGAAAATACAACGAAGATGGTGAATCCTCTTACCTGAGAGAATGTAAGAGAGGTAAATATGTTGAATTTGTGAACTTGGTGAATGATCTTTTCAACTCTAAAGATTCAGATATTTATAGGCTTAGTTCATGTGCTAAAGTTTTGGGTGATGAACTGGTTTTCTTCCAATTGCTTGACTAGAGCGTAGGAATAGGAAAACTAGTTTTTCCTACTAGTAGAAATAAGAAGACCAACTTTCCATGTTAGTCGAAGAAAGTAGTTTTTTCCTTAGGAGAGTGGCAAAAGTCATCCCTTTTAGGAACATGTGGCCTAACACATAACAATTTAATTGTTTCTTAATGGATGTGGAAATGGGTCAGGTGACACGCTTCATGGGCATGATAGGTCGGATCAAGAGACCCATGACTCGCTAGATCATGCCCAGTTGGTCATCCAGTGTCCCTTTATAATGTTTCTTGGAGAAAATGAAATATGGATTTCCCTCTAGAACTAATCAAAGTTATCTCAGTCCATATACATATATTGGTCCATTAATTGCTTTATTAAAATATTCAATGATGTCACATTATATTTAACAACAACATTCATTATTCACTGATACTTCACTTTTTAAGTTTGATATAGTTTTTTAATTATATAGGTTTGATTATGGGATCTCGTCTAAATCTCAAAGTTCAATAAACACTTTAAAACGTATTTACAAATTATCCACCAAAAATATTCTCACATTAAAAAAACACATACATCTTATTTATTTATTTTTAACTAAACATATCTACAAATTTTAAATTCTAATATGTATATATCAATTAAAACATAAAAATAATAATTATGACGCAGTTAATTACACTATAAAAAGCATGGATTCCAACATGGATATCAAAATACGATACTAGATAAAACGAAATTGACACTTAGATATTAATATTATTAAAAACATAAGACATCAACATCAATACACAATTTATTATAGGATTTAAGTTTTATTCACTCATCTAATATTTAAAAAAAAAAATATTTTAATCAAAAATTAATATTTTTTATTTTTCATTGAGATTGCTTTAATACATATCCAAAATATATATATAAGATCTCGTGAAGTAAATAAAAAATATTTTTTATTTTTTTAAAATTGTTTAATACATATTCTAAGGCTATTATACATATTTTTTTAAAAATATTTATCTAAACCTTTTTATACTATATATCTGACTTTTTCGACATATATCGTACATTTATCCTACACACACTTCCACACCTCTACTCTTGAAAGTATAGGTAGTTCGTAAATTAGAGGCATGTAACAGAACAATGTCACAAGTTTCATTCTATACACTCAAAGCTTATAAAAAGAGAACAACTAAGAGCCTGTTTCAAAAGCAAAAGTTTAAGCAAATTCGTATTGAAAATAAATATACTCCATGATTGTAGGTTTGAAAACACACTTGTTGCTGTTGTTAAAATACAAATAACAATAATGAAAAATGAGTTATGATTTTGGTACACAATAATGAAAGTTCCACAAGGCACACCCACCTCTCTCTTTCTGAAAGTATGTGTGGGGACTTAGTAATCTGTCGTGTTCCTCTTATTTCATAGAGTGGTGAGACAGAGGACAGACTCATCTCTATCTTTTATTAATTGTTTCAACTCCTTGGATTTTTCACTAGGCTTTTCATGTTTTAGGTTTTTTACACCCATCAATTATATACATTTTCAGTAAAAAAGAATTTACTTAGTCAAATAATTCTCTATTTTTTCTAAGAGTCCCACGTAGATAAGATATGATCTGAACATATATTTATAAGTGTGAGCAATTTTCATACTATCAATTAATTTTATAGAGTTGAGTTAGATTCAACCAAATTTTTTAATATGATATTTAAACGTAAAAAAAAGTGTTAAGAGTTTCATATCGAACATGTTCCTTATACTAAAAACCTATTTTGTAGGACTCACAATATTTAATTTTAGTGTAGACAATGACCAAATAAGAGAAGCAGGAAAGTATGGGCTGAGATTCTAATGCACATGTACACGTTGTGTGTGTGTGTGTGCAACTGTGCCCACATGCATGACCCTAGTGAAGGTAAATCCCATTCCCTTGGTCTTGTTTGTTAAGTGTGCCCATTTAGATTAATATTTGAAAATTCAAATTCTCACCAGAGTTTATAGATTACCTAAAATAAATGTTACTAGTCTAGTTTGTCATCTTCACTTAATTTTTTAAAGATTTAATATGTTTTGTTGTCTCTAAAAAAAAAAGAAGAACCTTTTA